GTAAACGTCTCTCCTCTTCTGGTAGGAGAGTAATGTATGGTGTCATCTTATTCCATAAAAATGATTGATAGGTGCTCAAATACGTCACGTAGTGAGCCATCCTTGCGATAAGGCCTGCCGCCATATGCATTTTCTTTCCCATTATATCAAGTTTCTTGCCTTCTTTGTCTGCTGGTGCTGATGCTGTTTTCCTAATTTTTTTCCCTTGACCCACTTCTGCAATCACAGTGTTGGGCCTGAATGGACGTACTAACCAATCAGCATTGGTTAAATCTACTCTATAAAAATTGTCCACCTTTCTAGGCATGGCTGGTGTTGATGCCGGGGAACCTTCAGGCACTTTTGTCAGTTTCAACAAGTATGGCAATGATGGGAGTGCCGTACTACTTGGAGTATTTTGCTGGTCGGCCGGAAACATAGGATCTTCCACCGTTTCCTGTGGCTTTGGCGCTGGCAAATCCAAAGCCCTAATCATCCTGGCCAACAATGCGTTAAACTTCTTAAACTCCTTGGCACTAGACTTATCTTGATCTGCCTCCTTAGATCCCTCTAGAAGGAATGCATTCTCATCTGAAGATTCAGAAAGATCAATCATTGTGTCTTGTTGGACACTTGGTGTGGAGGTACCTTCTAATGGGTCCTCATCCTGGCTTAATGTATGGTCATGCTGACCAAATGAATGTCCTCCTCTGTGGTTATTTCTAAGGTAACCATCTGTCTGGCAGTGACAAGGGGCAGGACCTGCACAGTAGACCATCTGCCCCTGTGGAGTCATCTGCCAATATCCCCCATGTGGGGGCAAAGGAGCCTGCTGACAGTCTAGTCTGCTCATCCGCATCGAAGGAGCCCCAGAATTGGCTCCACGGAGCCTTCCCTTTGCTTTCTTTTTCTTTCCTTCCAGGGTAGGGGAGGGGCTGGAGGAGGAGCCCCGTCTTGCCTTCTTCTTCCCTTTCTTATTAGCTGGGGAGGAGCTAGAGGAGGAGTTTCGTCTTGTCCTTCTCCTCCCTTTCTTACGAGCAGGGGAGGAGCTAGAGGAGGAGTCAGAGGTGGAGCTTGACACGCTCTTCGATGCGGACCGCCTCCGACGTCGACGCTGCCTCTCCGAGCCTCGAGATGGAGGACGGTCCCTCGAGCGTCGAGGGGAATTCTCTCCTTGCGGTCCCGCTTGAAGAGGAGGATGCTTAGGAGCCAGAGCCTCCATTAAGGTTTGAGCCTCATTAATTGCTCTTGTTAAAGCGGGCGGAGTCACAGAGGGCTCTGAAGCTTCAGCTTCAATCGTATTGCCTCTCTCTTAGGGGTCGCCCCCTCGCCCATCATTTCCTTTGGCAAAGGGGATTCCTTTGCCGCTTGGATCCTCCTTTTCACTTGCTGCGTCACCATTTTGTCTCCATCCGTGGGGTTTTGCGGTTTGCTTTTCTTCTTCTTTGCAATGGCGAGCTTGGCATTTTGATCGTCTTTTGGGCGCTTTGCCAGCAGCA